ATTATTGAAATCTCCTATTAAATACGAGTTCAACCATATGTAACACTTATGATTTTATGTAGTCTGGAAGGTCTTAAATACATAAAACAGAAGTCTGGCAACGCCTAAATTGTTTCAATACATTTTTTAATACTAACTATTTTCAAATACATTAAAACATAACAATTGATAGTTTAGAATATTTTTTAACATAACAGTTACGTTATTAAGTGTTCAAAATGTGCTCCATTTGTGAGTTGACAGCACTGTAATCGATGGTAGAATGCGTCTACCACATTTCTCCATGATTGTCTAGAAATTATTCGAGATTCATCGATAATTCATTGCCTTAGCTATGCAAGACTTGCTGGTTAAGTTTTGTAAACTGAATTTTTTAAATATCTCTAATAAAAATAATCTTTAGAATTGAGATCGGGTGAACGTTGAGGCCATTCAATTCTACCTTGTCTACAAATTTATCGTCCGGGAAATATCTCATCTAAATAACGCCAAACATTTACACCAACTATCTGACGTTAAACTTCTTTCGATAAAAAATTACCCAATTAAATAAGTACCTACTATAACTGACCATACATTTAATTTTTGTGGTCTTTGAGTATGGTTTTCACGCATTCAGTGTGATTTTCACACGAGTTCAGCTATTCAATACGAGTTCAACCATATGTTCACTTGATTTTATGTAGTCTGAAAGATCTTAAATACATAAAACAGTGCAAAATATGTAGATTTTAATAAATTTAAATATTTAAATGGACAATGCTGTGATTTTGACATTTGTTCACCATTTAAATTATGAACTAAAATTGACAGTAGTTGTGGTTCAAAAAGTTCTGCAATTTAAATTGCTTCTCTAAAATGCCGTTCTCTAAACCGTTCTCCTATTCATAAGACGACGGTACAAAAAACTGTAAGGCGATTTGGTGAATCTGGAGAAGTAAAAGATAGATACCGATCAGGTTGACCGAAACGAGTTATCAATGACAACAAAACTTCAGATATAAGCAAAGTTTTGTTGAAGATCCACATAGATCCCCAGGCAGGGTTGCACAAGTACATGATGTAGGTCATTCTTCAGTCTTACGTTTATTACGTAAAAACAAATTTAAATCATACAAAATTAACTTATTGCAAGAATTAAGTGAAGATGACTTTGGTCGTAGATTAGAGTTTACTGAGGTAATGATGGATAAAATTGAAAATTATTAAAACTTCGTTAACAGAATATGTTTTTCCGATGAAGCAACTTTTACACTGTGTGGAAGTGTAAATCGACACAATTTTAGTTACTGGTGTGACGTAAATTCACACTGAAGACTTAGTGCGTGAAAACCATACTCAAAGACCACAAAAATTAAATGTATGGTCAGATATAGTAGTTACTTATCCAATTGGGTCATTTTTTGTCGATAGAAATTTAACGTCAGATAGTTGGTGTAAATGTTCGGCGATATTTAGATGAGATATTTCCTGGACGATAAATTGGTAGACAAGGTAGAATTGAATGTCCTCCACGTTCACCCGATTTTAATCCTAAAGACTATTTTTATTAGGGATACTTGAAAAATTCAGTTTACAAAATTTAACCAGCAAGTCTTGCAGAGCTAAGGCAACGAATTATCACTGAATCTCGAATAATTTCTAGACAATCATGGAGAAATGTGGTAGACGCCTTCTACCATCGATTAGGGTGCTGTCAACTCACAAATTGAGCACCTTTTGAACACTTAATAACGCAACTACTATGTTAAAAAATGTTCTAAACTATCAATTGTTACGTTTTAAGGTATTTGAAAATAGTTAGAATTAAAAAATTTATTGAAACAATTTAGGCGTTGCCAGACTTCGGTTTTATGTATTTATGACCTTCCAGATTACATAAAATCATAAGTGTTACATATGGTTGAACTCGTATTGAATAGGATGACTCATTCCAATAATGACTGAATATACAGGATGATGTATTTGAAAACCCAAAGTTACTAATAATATAAGAAAAATGGCAAATCTGGCAACATTGTAAATATCAAATATGGAATCTCCGTATCCCAAAATAGGTGTACCTCAAATTTTGCACAATTATGATTAGCATTTTACGAGATAATTAGCCGTTTCCAGACTTTTGGGCCACTCTGTAAAAAATAGCCAACAATAGATCGTAGATAGGAAAAAAATAATTTTTTATATTTACTTACAGTTTCTTTTATTGAAGTATTTGTCCACCTCTTTAAGCAGACTGATAAATTGGTTTTGTTTGTTGTTGTTTTTTATTCTTTCGCCATTATCTGATGAGTATTTCTTTGTCTGATTCATGGGATAGATTTCTTTAATGTCTGCAATAGTCCTAGGATAGATACTTGCAATTTTTTTCTAATTCGATGTCTTCTTCTTGCAGGTGAGATCTGCAGGTGTTCTGCAAAATAAAATATGATTGTTATGCGACACTATGGACGTATAAATACGTCCATGTGCGACACATATGGCTGCTATTCGCTACTAAGATAGAGATAGCGAGATTCATTGTATCTTCTTCCTTTGTTAACGCTTTTGATGATTTCAGCCATAATCAAATTAAAAGCATGGGGCTCAAAGAATCTCCTTGTCTTATTCCGCTTCCTATTTCTATAGGTTTTGTAAGTTGTCCATCTTTTCTGACTTCCATTTTGTTGTTTTGGTAGATGTTTTCGATAGTTTTTATAATATTTAGGGTAACTTCTCTATTATACAGAAAATGGATTACATCTTTGAGTCTTACTCTGTTAAACGCTTTCTTTAGGACAATAGTTGTACCTATATAGTCGAATCAAACGTTTATTAAGATGAATAGGCTTCCTAAGCTAATTAAGATGTTCCTGACAACACAGAAAGTATTGTATACGGCTGAACTGAAATTGGAGTCAAGATTTCAATAAAGGTATAATATACAGGGTGTTGCAACGTATTGCATCTTATAATGTCAGATCACTGATAAGAGTAGAAAAGCTAGCCAAACTGGAAGAAGAAGTAAAAAAGATGAAATGCACAAATGAACAAATACAAAAGCACCTACACAATCATTATAGGCGACTTCAATGCTAAATTAGGGAGAAAACTAGAGGAATCAGAAAATAAAATCGGCAACTTTGGATATGGAACACGAAACGGAAGAGGGGAAACATTGATGAACTATATGGAAACGAACGGTCTATATGCGATGAATACCTTTTTCAATAAAAAACCACAGAGAAAATGGACGTGAGTCGCGCCTAATGGTTTAACAAAAAATGAGATTGATTACATCCTATCCAAAGAAAAGAACATAGTACAAGACGTTACGGTCATAAACATGATTTCCGTAGGAAGTGATCACAGAATTGTTAGAGCCAAAATCAAAATTAACGCCACAACAGACAGACAAAAATTTAAACCAACTAAAAAAGAGATAGATTCAGAACTTCTTAAAGAACACAAAGAACAATACATAAACCAGCTAAAAAGAAGTGACATATCACAGCTAAAGGGTTTGCAACTAGACGAATTAAACGATAAAATAACAACAGAACTACTAGAAGCAGGCCTGAAGATTGCTAATAAACAAAAGCGAAAACAACAAAAATTAGCGCTAAATCACAAGATATGCTAAAAAACGACGACAACTCCTGAATGATAACAAAAGAAATACAGTGGAGTTTACCGAACTGAACAAAACCATAAGAAAACAGATAAAGGAAGATTTAAAGAAATACCAAGAAGATCGCATTAAGAAAATCATAGAGAAGAACAAAAGTTTAAAAACAATGAAGACAAATATAGGAAAAAGAAAACTAATCATGGTTAAAGCTGAGAACAATGACGAAAGAGATCTAGGAGAAATAGTAAAAATCACAGAAAGATATTACACAGACCTATACAGTTCTAAAAATGACCCACCGCTATCATCTAAACAGAATCTCTCGAGGAAAATTCAAAATGTTGGTTCAGAGGTATTACCAGAAATAACTGAAGATGAAATCGAAAAATCCATAAACGACATGAAAAGAAATAAAGCAGCCGGTGACGACAAAATACTGGTGGAACTGCTAAAAGAAGGAGGAGACACGATAAAAAAAATGCTAAAAATACTGTTCAACAAATGTCTGTTTGAAGTTAAAATACCTAAACAATGGATAAATGCCAACACAATCTTAATACATAAGAAAGGAGACCGAACAGACCTAAACAACTACCGTCCTATTTTCCTTTTGTCACAACTATATAAAACCTTCACAAGAATAATAAACAACCGACTAACCTATAAACTTGATAAGTACCAACCAGTGGAACAGGCCGGATTCAGGAAAGAATACAGCACAATCGACCATCTACATGCGCTTAAAATCTTAATTGAGAAAACCAATGAATACAACGTAAGATAGAAAACTAGAGATAGAAAACGTAACCAGTGGATCAGAACCAGAACAAAGACAGTAGAAGAGATAGAACAAGCAGACGGACGATGGAACAATGCCATCGGAAAGTGGCGTCCATACAATGCAAAGAGATCAAGAGGCAGACCACAGATGAGGTGGAAAGATGACATCAGGAAACAAGGAGGTCCCACATGGCAGAGAACAGCTCAATTTAGGGAAAGATGGAAAGAACTGGGGGAGACCTATATCCAACAATGGAAGGATAGAGAATAGGTTAAAAAAAAATACACGGTGTTGTATTTACAAACCCAAAGTGACTAATGATATCAGAAAAATGGTAAATCTGGCAACTTTACAAATATCTCAAATCTTCGTATTGCAAAACAGGCGCATCCATGTTTTTGTATATTTTAGACCGTCCAATTAAGAGTAAATTAGACGTTTCCAGATTTTTTGTATCCACTCTGTATATAATATATAAACGACTTTTTTGAAATACGTCCATACACTAATATTATGCGCATTCTAAAATATTTTCAGCGCTCAACTAAAACCATTGTAATTTTTTAACCTGTAATATTTTTAAACTGACCTACAAATTTGTTGTTGCAGAAGACAGAATCCAGAAATACTGCAATAGCGATATCCTGCTCTCCGAGTTGTATGCCAAGGGATTGTCGGAGGGATATATTCATAATCCTGGATATCCCAGATTCTATTCGGGTCAAAGACAATGTAAATGGAGGATTATAGGCCAAGAGAAACAGAAAATCAAAGTTACTATTCTGGATATTTCGCTGATAGGTAAGAATTTTCGATCACACTGAGTGCATCGTAAGTCATAAGTGAAAAAATGATTAAAAAAATATATAAAACACTTCCTATATCGGTTTTATAAATTTTATACATACACAGTGATATCAGCAAACATTACCATGTTATCTATAGAACAATTTTTTGGTTCAGAAAAAAAACCTTCTTCAAATTAAACTTTTTTACCTGTTTACGCTACTGCAGCTGTGGTTATTCTTATATTTATATATTTTTTTAGTGGACCGTCCAAACTGCATTGATCGGCTGGAAATCAGGGACACCGGCCAAGTTATCTTCTCAACGTGTAAACAAACTCACCCGCCAACCGAAGTGATCTCAGGAACAGAGTCAATTGAAATAGTATTAAGCTCTACACAGAGTATCAACCCGCGAAGAGGTTTTTTGTTACATTTCGCTGCAGTAGGATGCCCTGAGATCGAGCTGCCTCAGGATTCCTATTTGATGTACAGGTAAAAATATTATAATTCGTTTTATCTATCGTTGCATTGGCATCTCCAATTTTGACGAATCGGTTATTTGCGATAAAAAAAGTAATACTCTGCTACACTAAAAAGCAAAACTTACGTGAGAATGAAGGAATAGATCGAAATGCAAGAAGTAGAACTGGTGTGGTATGGATGAAAAAGAAGGAGGTCATTGGTATGTATAGTGACAAAAAGATTCTAAAGAAATTAAAATGCAAATACTATAAAATGGTAATACGATCTGCTTTAATGTACATGTGAACATGTGTACATTAAGGCTGATCCATACTATGAATAGATGTTTTCAAAATAAGAATGCTTTTAGAAAGAAATTACCTTTATCTTTTACCTAATGTACTAAAAATAGATTTGTTATACCTATATATTGTTCAGAAGTTTTTCTTAAGATGGAGAGGGATTGAAATCCTCAATTCGAGTGATCTAGTTATGTTGTCTTTAGACTTGTTGACAGTCAACACTCAAAAGAAAAAGAAGATTTATCACACTTATAAATTGAAATAGATGATGTGAAGAAACACGCTGAAACAATATGGACGAAAGATGAACAGTAATAGATAAAGATTAATAGAATGGAAAAGCAGAGGTCTAGGTTGAAAATGATATTGTAAGTCACAAAAGATGGATAAAAGATCTTTTTATCTTCTTCTTCTTCTTCTTCCTCTTTATAAGCAATTCTGCTTGTTCATTGGCGGATTAATAACTTTATGGAAGGTTGTCAGTCCATCTTTTGCGCGGTCGTCCGATACTTCTTCTGCCGATTGGTAACTGATCTCTTGCTATTTTGACGACACGGGTATCCTCCATTCTGCTTATGTAATTATTCCATCCTTTTTTAAATTTTTATCCATTCATTTATACACTGTACGTTACATTTTCTTCTAATGGCTTCACTTCTCTTGCGATCTCTCTCAGCGTATTTCCTGTAATTTTTTCTCAGTACTCTCATCTCTGCCGTTCCCAGTAGCCTTTGCGTTGTATGTCGGGTCTTGTTTCTGAGGTATATGTCATTATTGGTCTTACACTGGCTTTATAAAGTCTTGATTTCATCTCAGTGCTAATGTGTGTTTCGCCATATAGTGTTATTAAGGCATCCTGCTCTATTTGCTTTTTGTACTTGATCTCTCACTTCTTTGTCCAGATCTCCATAGCTAGACAGTGTAATTCCTAGGTATTTTATTTCCATTACTTGTTCATTACTGACGCCATCAATTTCTATTTTACATCTGGTTGGTTATTTGCTGACTACTATTGTTTTAATTTTCTAAGATGAGATTGTCATATTAAATTGTTTTGCTCTTATATTAAATCTGTGGACCATTCTTTGCAGACTAGCTTCATCTTCATCATCAATCAGCCAATCGCATCCACTGCTGGACATAGGCCTCCCTCAGTTCTTTCCAGTGTTCTCTACACTGGGCCGCTTGTAGCCAGTTTCCCGCTACACGTTTTATATCATCGGTCCATCTAGTCGGTGGTCGTCCTCGGCTTCTTTTATCAGCTTTATCTTGGGTTATCAATATTGCGTCGTCTGTGTAACAAAGTTTTTTTTTGTTTTCCATTCTGTATCCCCTTTGTTAACGGTTTGACGATTTCATCCATGATTAAATTGATGAGCATGAGACTCAATCAATCTCCTTGTCTTATTCCGCTGTCTATTTCTATAGGTTGTCCACATTTCTAACTTCCCGGTCTTATTCTGTCAAACGCTTTCTTTATGTCAATCAGACACAGAAATGCTGGTCTATTAGACTCCAGTGATATATATGAGATATTTTTATAGTTATTGATACTGCAGCTCTAAAGTAGAGTCTACCTTCCCAAATATTATTTACCATAGTCCTATTCATTGATAACCGTTGTCAGTCTGTCACGCCAATTTTTTAGCATCCCAATCTATACTATCCCTGTATCTAGCTGTATGTTTTTACCTAGCTCTATGTCTACTTTCTACGGGCTTGATCATCGGAAAAAGTCATGATGTTGTGGTCGTGTTTTAGAGAGATATAATGTATTTTACATTTGATATGATGAATGAATAAAAATAATATAGATTTGTAGGAGTATTACTTGAAAATTTAGGGAATTACAGATCGATTAGCCTCCTCAGCCATATATATAAGTTGTTTACGCGAATACTAGTTAAGAGAATGGAAAGAAAATTAGAGACTTATCAACCAAGGGAACAGGCAGGATTCCGAAAAAGTTACGGAACAAATGACCATCTACAAAGTATAAAAACCCTAATAGAGAAAGCAGTGGAATAAAATAAACCTCTAGTTCTAATATTTATCGATTTTCACAAAGTCTTTGACACAGTTGAGCTAAGCAAAATATTACAGGCGCTTAAAGAATGCGGGCTAGATTATAGATATACTAAATTATTATACAAAATATACCTGCAGGCAACAATCACGGTCAGAATACATACTAACAGTAATCGCATAAAAATAGAACGGGGGTTAGACAAGGAGACCCAATGTCACCTAAACTTTTTAATACGGTGCTAGAACATGCTTTTAAGAATTTGGATTGGATGACAAAGGGAATAAAAATAGATGGAGAATATCTAAACAACTTACGTTTCGCCGATGATATACTTATAATAGCTGAAGATCTAGGTATGGCAAGAGAGATGGTACAGGAACTCGTTGTGGCTACAGAAAATGTAGGTTTAAATATAAATATCTCGAAAACAAAAATCATGACCAATTTGGTGCCCAACCAGAACATCAGTATTGGTGGGAAAGAAATAGAACTCGTAGATAGATATAAATACCTGGGACATGAAATTATGATTGGCAGAGATAACCAGACTCATGAACTGAAGAGAAGAGTCAGCCTTGGGTGGGCAGCATTTGGAAAACTGAGAGAAACTTTTAAAAGTGAGCTGCTCACATGCCTAAAGAGAAAGGTATTTGATCAGTGCGTCCTCCCAGTCTTGACGTACGGAGCAGAAACACTTACCTTAACAAAAGCAGCAGCTACCAAACTGAGAGTCACGCAGAGAAGAATGGAGCGGTCCATGTTAGGAATAACTCTCCGAGACAGAATAACGAACGAAGACATCAGGAGAAGAACCGGAGTGACTGACATCATCGAGAAGATAGCCAGACTGAAATGGAGATGGGCAGGACACATAGCCAGAATGACAGATGGGCGATGGACAAAGAGGTTATTGGAATGGAGGCCAAGGGAAGACAAGAGAAGCGTCGGTCGACCACCTACAAGATGGACTGACGATTTAAGAAGACTCAATAAAAACTGGATAAGAGCGGCGCAAGATAGACGGGGTTGGAAACATGAGGAAGAGGCCTATGTTCAGCAGTGGACTTTTGAGGCTGGATGATGATGATGATTACTTGAAAATAAACCCACAATGCGTCAACCATTAGGAAGACTTAGGTTGGACTCTCTGCTCGTTCTCTCTACACTTTTATCTGTGGACTATTTATAAAATAATGATCAATAGTCCTCTTTTGTGCTGCTATTTAACACCGTTATATACCAGCAGTGTTCATAGTTTTTAAATTTCTTTGTCTCTTGTATCATATGAATGGTCTATTGATAACATAAATGATGATTTAATATTGGATTTGGCATTTTTTTAACCATTTTCAAATCCTTAATTTTTTAAATCTCATTTATTCTTTATTTTATACCTTGCTGCATTATTTTTTTATCTACTTGGACTTTCTTGGATTTTGTTGGACCAAAACGTTTACTAATTTCGGAGAAGGCCACGATAGATAACAACTCGTAGCGTTCATTTAATTAATTCTGCATCAAGACAGATCACAGAATCGTCAAGAAGAACGGATTCTATAGAGGACTTCAACATGCTAACATTAGATCTGGTAGAATATTTTTTCCTTGATGCTGGGTATAGCCATAAATAACATTACTAATTTTATTGTTATTGACAAAGATCAGATCGCAGTAGCCGTAACATTGACTTAATCTAGATTATCTGCAACTTAAAGGATTCCCCAAACCGACGCGAAACTTTCGCAGCGGAATCGCGGCGAATCGTAAGGCACGGCGACCATGCATATTGTGTTCAGACAAGATCGGACGGAAACCGGAACGGTCACGGCGGAACAGCGTTGATGTTTCATGAAACCCTGCATGCACGGTTTTTTCCGCTGCAGTTATAGCAAGTTATAGTTTCGCGTGAATTATTAAAATGGCTGTTACAGAAAAACTAATTGAAATTGTGAAACAATATCCTATAATTTATGATTTAAGTGACGAAGATTATAAAAATATAAGAAAAAAGGATAAAGTCTGGGATAATATAGGGTCATTTCTAGGAGAAAATGGTAAGTTTTCATTATATATTATATACTTACGTATATTAATTTAATGTTCCGCAACGGTTTCGCGTCGCAAAAGTTTCGCGTCGATGTGGGGAATCCTTTAAGGATTCGGAACATTCGCAGGCGGAGCACTATTAAATTCATTATATATAATATCATGATACTAAGACTTCCAAGATAAACCCACTTCGCAATCGAATTTTGTACATCGACGCGCATGACGTCAATTGGTGATAAAAGTCACTTTTATCACCAACCTTTTATCATCACAGTCGGTAAAACATATATGGAAAGAAAGGGGTTTTTATTTAAATATTTAGAATATTAAGGGATGTTGGGTAAAATATCTGCAATTAAATCTTAAAAATATGTTATATATACATCTCTGTTAGCCTAGCAATGTAAACTAAAATTATATAAAAAAGTAAGAACTAAACATCCTTTTGCAAATGGAAATTTATATACAATGGATTGATTTATTAAAATAAAAAGTTAATACAACTGATAAAATAAAATACACTGTAATAATTTACAATTTTTTTAATATTTTCTTCTTCTTAACTTTGGATGTTTCTTTAATATATCTATTCAATTTTCTAATTTTAAAATATAATTTACACCTTTACGAACATTACATCTGAACACAGCTAAATCCGTTAGCGATTTTAAATAATTCTTGGTTAATTTTAATGACCCTTTGTTAAAATTGTTAAAAATATGGTCCAGTTCATTACATTTAATTAGAAAAATCTGGATATGGTTTAAGTAAACCTCCTTCGGAAAGATGGTTTACCCAGTAAACCGATGTCAACGTACAAGATAAACGATAAAACAAAACTAAATCTCAAGGTTAGTAGATATTTAAGTAGATACACAGAATAATAAACAAACAGAATACCCACTCTCCACGGAAAATTAAGTACGCGCATCTCCTCCGCGCAGACGTTCCGCCATATTTTAGGAGGATTTTAAAGAAATTAGTGTTGTTTATGTGGTGTGCATGGAAAAATTAACCAGGTTTATTTGACTTACGGCAATCATAGACATACTATACAATTATATTAACATTGTTAAATATAATAACATAAATATAATAAGTTAAACATAAATATAAACAATTACATAACCACACAAATCATAGGTCTGTGTCCTCCTAAAACATGGCGCGCGTGCTGAAAAACTTCAAAGGCGGCATCTGAGAGTGGCCCTTCTGATTGTTTATTATTCTGTGGTAGATACTTAAATATCTACTAACCTTGACTAAATCTGACAAAACTCCATACAACACAGAACATTTCTGGTGACATTTGTCGCCAAGTGACGTCACACGACTGATCGCGTGCGCGTGGGTTTATCTGTAGTTTATAGTATCATGATATAATATATAATGAAAACTTACCATTTTCTCCTAGAAATGACCCTATATTATCCCAGACTTTATCCTTTTTTCTTATATTTTTATAATCTTCGTCACTTAAATCATAAATTATAGGATATTGTTTCACAATTTCAATTAGTTTTTCTGTAACAGCCATTTTAATAATTCACGCGAAACTATAACTTGCTATAACTGCAGCGGAAAAAACCGTGCATGCAGCGTTTCATGAAACGTCCGTCAACGCTGTTCTGCCGCGACCGTTCCGGTTTCCGTCCGAACTTGTCTGAACACATGCATTAAGTCGCCGTGCCTTACGATTCGCCGCGATTCCGCTGCGAAAGTTTCGCGTCGGTTTGGGGAATCCTTTATTGGAAGACGAACGAATTGCAAATCTACCCTTGAAATATTATTAAACATATAAATTAATGAATCACTAAATTGCAACATCGCCAAAAATAGAACAATGGCGAAGATTTTACAGGTGATCAAATTCATCGTTAGGGATGTATGTACGTTGGCCGACAAGAGGCCATTACAGGACTGGACAGATCTTTGAAAAATATTCGTGACAATGAAAAACATTTTTGGTGGGGTATTTTCAGACTGTCCCTTATTTAATAATTATTCCCTAATTAACTACTGCGGACAAACTAAACGTATGCCTAACATCATCTAATTTGTGGCGGCATGTAAAGACGCTCCCATTAACAGAGATTTCTGTTAAGTAACAGATTTAAAAGAGGAGCTTATGAAACTCTAATACATTGTTTAATTTTAAGGCGATACGAAGTTCGGCGGATCAGCTAGTTCTTATTAAATTCCTTTTTTACAGAAATGCTGAACTAATGGTATTCAGTTGTTGTTTGGGATACCAATTTCCTGATACGGGTACTAGAATAAAGAGCGTTGGATGCCAAGGGGCGTTTTGGAACAGTTCACTGCCTCTATTGCACTGTCAAAGTAAGTTTTATCAGTTTTATTTGAAATAAACAATTCAAAACACAGATTCACGAAATTTTAAAACAACTAAGATAATTCAGACATATATTATAAAATTTAAGTATTTTTAAGTATATTTCTGGGATGACATTAATGGGGGGATGATCATTGATCAAATTAACTTAAACTCGAAAACACCTGTAAGTAAAATAATATCATGTATATTGCCTTTAAAAAGGCAACCATATTCAATAATGATAGTAACATTTTTTCTTCAGTAAATCATAGCTAGATCCATAGATTGTCAATCATGAGGAAACCTAGGAAAAAACTCATGATACTGTCAATTAAAAATCCGCAGGGAAAATAAAATTCCTGATATTTGCTGTTTACCCTAAATAATAAAAACTTTTATTTAAAAAATCCTTTATAAAAGGAATATATTCTAAAATTGCTGTTTCGGGTTAAATCATTACTGCAGTTACCAGGTATTAATGAGGAAAGCCCCTAAATATGTGGGTAAAAACCCTTTAAATGATGTTAACTTTGTTAATTAATACATATGTGTTGTTAAATTTAAATGATGTTGTAGTTTTAAACAGATTTCTTCTTCTTCTTTACGTGCCATCTCCGCGACATAGGTTCGCAATCATCATGGTTATTCTGATCTTAGATGCTGCTTCTCTGAATAGTTCGATTGATGTGCATCCGTACCATTCCCTCAAGTTACGCAACCACGATATTCTTCTCATTCCTACACTTCTCTTGCCCTGAATTTTTCCTTGTATAATTAATTGAAGTATATTAAATCTTTCATTACGCATAACATGCCCCAAGTATAGCAGCTTTCGTATCTTGATAATTTCCAATATTTCCATTCTTTTGTTGTCTCTTCTCATAACTTCGTTGTTTGTTACATGCTCGGTTCATGATATTTTCAGGATTCTTCTATACACCCACAGTTCAAATACTTCCAAGTTTTTAGTAGTGGACGCGTTACGTGTCCATGCTTCTATCCCGTAAAGCAGAGTCGAGTAAATATAACACCTTGCCAGCATAACTCTCAAATATAATTTCAGTTCTCTTACACAAAGTACCATTCTCATTTTATTGAAGTTTGTTCGTGCTTTCTCTATTCGAACTTTGATTTCTTTGGAGTAATCGGTTGTGTGATTAATTATTGTGTCAAGATAATTGTAGTTTTCATCTTGTTCTAAAGTTTTACCGTTAATTGTCAGGCTTTCATCATTATTTTGGGTTTTTGATATTCTCATAAATTTAGTTTTCTCGATGTTTATTGATAATCCATCAATTATGATAGTATCCTCAGCATATCTAATGTTGTTAATTGGCGTTGACCGTTATTTCTGCTGTTTCTCCCTAAAGAGCTCTTTTCATAATATACTAAGTGACATAGAAATTCGAACACCCAGTTTTAAATGATTTTATTTTAATAAAATTTTGTATAAGTACTTAATGAAGCATAATAAGTAAATGATTAAAATTTCAAAATGATTGCATTGCTTTAAAGTCCTTTTACCTTTAATAATGTGTGGATGCACCACGATGTGTTACGCATTCTCTAACGCGCCTAGGCATGCTTCTGATCAGGTGGTCACTGTCCTCTGGTGGTATCTCATTCCAGGCAACCACCAACTCCTCTCGAAGTGCTTGTAGAGAAGTGCCTATCATATCCACACGTGCTCAATTGGGGATAAGTCGGGAGATCTTGGTGGCCATGCTAACAATGTGACATCATTATGTTGAAAGAAGCCTATTGTGACTCTGGCAACATGTGGTCGGGCATTATCTTGTTGGAAAGTTGGATTTGCCAGGGTGTCAAGATAGAGTAAAAGGTGGGGTTCTAGAACGTCTTGGATATAATGCTGCGCGTTCATGTTACCTCTGATGAAAATTAAAGGTGACCTGAAACCATAAACTATAGTATCCTAAACCATAACTACAACAGTGTGATGAACATGTCTTTCAACAAAAAACTGTGAATTCCCCCTTTCACCACGTCGCCTTCTAACCCTCGCTCGACCATCGTGCATGCGTAAACAAAATCGAGACTCCTCACTTAAGACAATACTGTTTCATTCTGATTCCAGAGTGACCGTTCTTTGCACCACTGAGGGCGATTACGAGGGTGTTCTGGAGTTACAGGGAGGACCCAGTGTGGTCGGTATGAAAATAGGCCAAAACTTCTCATTTGTCGGTATACACTTCGCATGCCAATAGGTATTCCATGTTCTGCAAACCATTCATTTGCAATGGAGCTGGTAGTGGAGAAACGGTCTTTTAAGGCCAATAATCTTGGGCGGCCTCTAGTGCTCCTTGCTCTTTGCGTACGGCCTTCTTGAAGCCATGCCTGACAACACTTAACCACGGTGTCTACACTTCTTTGCACTCTAACTGCAACTTCCCGAAAAGAAAGTCCAGCTTCCCGAAGTCCCATTATACGGCCCCTATCAAACTCACTAAGTTGACGAAATCGTGCAGGTCTCCGTACTCTAGGCATCGTAACCTAATCAAACACAAGATTCCCAGGAGTTGCCAACCCAAGAAAAGGTATCTCCATGAGTTCTTGATAGCAACGTTGCTATGGAGGATCCTTAGAGATACAGATTAATTTATAATGGATTACCTACTTTCTAATGAAATAAATAAATACGTATATAAATAAATTGATATAAAATAAAAATCCCCTTCTGTTGCTATTCTGGTTGTACGCCCCTGGCTTTATTTGTAAAGGTCTCTCTGAAAAATGATTCAACATTATTCAATTAAGGACGAGCATCATTGCAAGCTTTCTTTGTCTCTGTCTGACCTTTGCTCCTCTGGCTTCCTTGATTAATTTATTTCCCTTTTCAAAGTGCCTGCTGTTTGCTCTGTGCCATCTAGGTAACTAATTTTGTGTATATTTTTACTTTTAGAGTAGTCTATTTGAGTACGTAGTACAAGAGAAAAGTTATGTGACGGAATTAGTCTTTCGTCTACGCTTCGTCTCAAGTTTTTTGTTTCCCATGTTTACTTGAACTTGAAGGATGAAGTTTTTGCCAGTGTTTGTTTTATTTATTTAATTAAATGTTGTCTACTGTATTATAATGGGAATTAATCACGATTTAAATTTGATTTCGACTTCAGAAGTTCATCTTTTTGTATTTTAAGAATAATTTCCGAAGTGGAATTCGAAAAGTTAAAATAATAATTTTTTCATTAAAATTTTTAATTCGCTTTAAATACAATGTAGATAATATTGATCATTTTCATCATCATTGGCTGCACAACCCATGGTGGGTCTTGGCCTGCTCAAGGATAAGTCTCCAATCTCCCATATTCTTCGCCTTGGTTTTCCAGTTTCGTACTCCCAACATTCTCATGTCTTCCTCCAACTGATCCATAAATCGTGCTCTGATGATGTTTTGACGGCTCCATTTCATTCATTCTCTCTATGTGACCTAACCACCGCAGCCGGTTTATTTTGATGGACCTAATAATATCAGGTTTGTCATATAGGCGGTAAAGTTCGAGATTATAGCGTCTACGCCATAATATCCCCTCCTGAACTCCTCCATAGATCTTCTTCGTCTAGCCATTCACGTCCACATCTGAACATAAGCCTCTTCAAGTCTTCCTTTCCATTGTTTTTTATTGTATGCTACTTGTAGCCAATTTTTCTCGGCAGTCCTTTTCAGATCATCTGTCCATCTCATAGGAGGTCTGCCTCTGGGTCTTTTGTGTTGGTATGGTCTCCAGGTTAAAATTGATCTATGCCATTTGTTTAGATCGCTCCTAGCTACATGTCCTCCATAGATATGCCGGAGGATTTTACGTTCAAAGCATCTTAAAACTTCCACATCGCTCTTTTTCATCGCCCATGTTTCCGACGCGTTGGTGACGATGGGCTTGATAAGAGTTCTGTATATCACTAGTTTCCTTCTTTTTGTAACTAGGCTTGTTGTTAAAAATTTTCTTAATCCATAATAGGCTCTATTTGTCAGATACAGTAGAACCCCTCTCGTCCGCCCTCGGATGTCCGACGCTCTGGGTAATCCGACCTGCTTGGCTTCGCGGAAATCCCCGGCGGTCGATTTGCTTACGACGAAAATTTCTCCGAAAATCACAATCCATTCTGTCAGTATTATTTCGAACTTTGTGAGTTAAAGTGTGTACATTATTTTCAACATGTCAGGAGCAAAACACGTTAGGCGTTCGTTAAGTGAAAAACTTGCAGTGCTTCAAAGGCTGGACAAAGGTGAATCACTACAAAAAATTGCCAAGGAACTGAATGTAGGCGTTACGACTATTAAGGATTGGAGAAAAAATCGAAAAGAAATTGAATCACATACAATGACGATAGTAGATGGAGAAAACGCTCTTAAAAGCGAAAAACATTAAAAAAGCCTAAACTTGAACTGCTTGATAGTGCTCTATGGATGTGGTTCAGTCAAGAAAGAAGGAAGGGAACTCCGATATCTGGCCCAATTATAAAAGAAAAGGCAATAATTTTGCACAAAAAACTAGAAGTCGGAAGTGAATTTAAAGCCAGTGAAGCTGGATTGATCGTTGGAAAACCCGTCATGGTATCCGGTTTGTCTCAATTTGTGGTGAAAAATTATCTGCTGACGTCGAGGCGGCTAAGGAGTTTTCTGTGAAGTTTCAACAAATTGTAAAAGAAAATGAACTGTTACCTTGCCAAGTCTATAACATAGACGAGACAGGCCTAAACTATAAAATGCTTCCAAACAAAACCTTAAGTGCGTCATATGAAACCGTAGCGGGAACGAAACTCATGAAAGATAGGCTGTGATAACTGTTGCTCCTTGTAGCAATGCTGATGGAACACACAAGCTTTCGCTGTTTGTCATAGGCAAATCTAAGAAGCCCAGGGCTTTCAAAAACATAAACTTATCATCCGTGCCGGTTTATTATCGCAACCAAAAATCTGCTTGGATGGACTGCAATCTTTTCAAATCTTGGTTTTTTGACGACTTTGTGCCATGTGTTGAGAAGGACTT